TGCCAATAGCATCTTCTGGAAGTGTTCTTTGAGTTATCTGATCTGGTTTGGTAGGAACTACAGAACCAATCATTGGAATTAAAAGATGAACTGCATGATCATCTTCATTAAGAAGCTTCTTTTCAAGCTTCTTTTGCTTATTCCTTTCCCGAAAATCATAGCCCAAGTTTTGTCTTTTCTTGTAATTGGGATCATTGCATAATGGCTTCCCATCTTGTACCGGAAGAAATGTGTCAGTAACATTAGTCATGTGAGCAGCACATATAAAATTTGCCAATTCTGCAATTGATGAATCTGGACCACGTCTCTACATGGTTATTGAAGTTTCAGCCTTTGAGAATCCCATTTTTGTCAAGTATAACAGTTTATTCTCCTCATCAGAATCAGAATTCAAGATTTCTCGGTATTAAAAGAACTATCGATATCTGTGAAATCATCTTGAAAGGTCATTTCATAATCAGATGATTGTTATCAGAATCAACATGTTGCCTGAATGCAAGCTTTTCAAGAACCTATATTGAGTTTTATTCTCAAGAGATTTTATGACATTATATCTACATTTGTCAAAGATGATAGAGAAAGATCTATGGGTTTTACAATTGAAGAAATACTCAATTCACCAATCTGAAATCAAATAACTTAACATTCATGCATCATATTTTAGGTGTTTACAAAAATAGGTGCATTTTCATTCATTTTCATCTATGTTGAATTTTTAACAGGAATTTCAAAAGATTTTAGCAAAGATTTAAATCTATCATTTGATGGATCATCATTTCCAGAGAAAGTTCATAATGAGAAGAACTCATCTGAAGAAGGAAGAAGAAGTTCATAATGAGAAGAATTTGTTCAACCTTTTGTCTGAATTCATCACTTGATGATTATTTTGCCAGAGAAGGTTCAAATGAGAAGAACTTGTCATCTGAAGAAGGAAGAAAAAGTTCATAATGAGAAGAATTTGTTCAACCTTTTACTTGAATCATCATTTGATGGATCAACATTTCCAGAGAAAGTTCATAATGAGAAGAACTCATCTGAAGAAGGAAGAAGAATTCATAATGAGAAGAACTTGTTCAACTTTTTGTTTGAATTCATCATTTGATGGATCAACATTGCCAGGAAGAGTTCATAATGAGAAAAACTCGTCATCTGAAGAAGGAAAAGAAGTTCATAATGAGAAGAACTTGTTCAACTTTTGTTTGAATTCATCATTTGATGGATCACATTGCCAGGAAGAGTTCATAATGAGAAAACTCGTCATCTGAAGAAGGAAGAAGAAGTTCATAATGAGAAGAACTTGTTCACTTTTGTTGAATTCATCATTTGATGGATCAACATTGCCAGGTAGAGTTCATAATGAGAAGAACTGTCATCTGAAGAAGGAAGAAGAAGTTCATAATAAGAAGAACTTGTTCAATAATTCTACACAGAAGGAGATAGATTAGCATCAGCCTTTCTAGAAAGTTCATAATGAGAAGAACTCATCAAAAGCTTATTCAACTTTGAATGACTCTATCACAGAAAGAAAGAGTCAGCATCATCCCCAGTAGAAAGTTCAGAATGAGAAGAACTCATCTGAAGAAAGAGAATTTATTTAATATCTCCATTATGATCAAGTGAAGCCAAATGGATAAAAAATTTATTATCTTTTCATCTTTGCCCTATTCTTGTTAACACAAGAATGAGCAAAGAGGGGCAGCTGAAGATACTAATTTTTTACCCATTTATTATTATTATATTATTATTATTATCATTATTATCATTATTATTATTATATTATTATTATTATTATTAAATATATTAAATACATATATAAATAATATTAAATTACAAGCCCAATCAACCGGCCCAAAACCCAAACCAAACTGAAACCCAAAACATTTAGGGTTTTAGTTAGGGTTTCCTAACCCTAATCCCAGCCGCCTCAGCTTGCTGCCGTTGGATCTGGCAGATCCACGGTCCAGATGGCTCCAGATGGAAACCCTAGGTATGATACCCTAGGGCCACGCGGCCGCCGCTGCTGCTCTCACCGCCTCCGCCGCTGCCACGTCCCAAATGAAGACTCCAGAAGACCCAGCTGCCCTCCCACGCCATGGCTAAGGGTGAGTCACCACTGGTAGTCCGGTGACTCACCGAAACCCCCCTTCGGACCGGTCCGATGGCCACACCGGTGGTGGCTATAAAAGCAACCACCCGAACCTGAAAAAAAAAAAAGAAAAAAGACAGAGACAGAGACAAAAAAGGAGAGACAGAAAAAAAAGAAAGAAGAACACAGAGAACAGATCCCAGAGAGACAAAACCGAGAAAAAAAATATACAAAATACTACCAACGATCTCAACAGCAAAGAAACAGAAAAGAAAGAAAAAGGAAGAAAAGAAACTTACGAGGAGCCCCGACCACCGGATCTCACCGCAACCTTCGAAACACCGAAGGTATTTTGTAGATTCGCTCCGATTAGGAGCTTTTTAAGGAAAAAGAACCCCGGAAACGTCCTTAGGACGTCCCGATCTATTTAATGGTGTAAAAATAAAACTTTCCGGTCACCGGATGCGGTGGCCGGCGACGACGGTCACGGCGGCATACGGTTGCCGTCCGGTGACCGGATTCCCTCTGATGAGGAATCTAGAGAGTCAGAGCTCTCTCGGCTTGAGAGAAAGAAAAAAAAAATGAAGGCTGGCCCTTCGGGCCAGCCGGTTTTGGACCTTTTATAGGCCTCCCGAACGACGTCGTTTCGGGAAGGACTATGCGCGTAATTAGACAATAGTTAAACCCCGTCCGCGTCCTCCGAATTTGTAAATTTTACATTCTAGTCACTAAATCGATTTTATAATACTTTTAATTCAGATCTTTAATTTTAATTTCTTTTATTTTAGTCCTTTATATTAAAATAATATATTTAGGATAAATAACAGATTTAATCCCTTAATTTTAATAAATAATATTTTAATCTTTAGTTTATATTTTTAATTTATTTTATTCTAATATCCGAATTTTAGATAATTTTATTTTAGTCACTAAATAATAAAATAAGAAATAGCATGTTTAATCCCTGTAATTCTGATTAATTATGAATTAGGCTTTTCAATTTTAATTTCACTATATTTAGTCATTTATTTTAAGTATTTTTTATTGCTTTAAATATATAGTTAGAATTGTATTTTTTACTGTTTTATATTTAAATGTTGTTATATAATAAATAAATATTTATTTTAAATAAATTATTTTAATATTTAGTTTTCAATATCAAAGAACAGGACAGTCTTAATACAACTGGATGTCCTATTCTGATATTTTAAAATTAAAAATTAAACAATATTATTTAAATTAATATTTATCAATATTAAAGAAAAGAGCTGTCTTAAGGCACCTAGAAGTTCTTTCTGATATTTTAAATAAATAAATATTTTTATATAATTTTGAAATAATAGGATTATAAATTATATTTTTTGAATTTTTAAATTTTAATAATAGAAACAATTTATAATTAAAAAGTACCAATTTTGGGCGTTGTAGGGGTGCTAATCCTTCCCTAAACGTAACCGACCACGAATCCCTTTTTATTATTAAAAAGAACGAATTTTTGGTTATAAAACGCATATCAGTTCATTTTTTTAATTGATGTTTTCTTAAAACTCTTTTAAAGAAAATAATTTTTAGGTATTCGACCTACCTGATCCAAAAGGTCGATGGCGACTCCCAAATTATTTTAAAAAATATTTATTCACATCACTTTTCCCGCCAAGTAAAAAATTCGTGCCCGGGCGAAAACCGGTTACGACAGTATGCGTTTAAGGCAGTGAAAGCATCTGGGATCACATCCATTGGTGTTCGAGGAAAATATTATGTTTGTGTTGTTACCCAAAAGAAAGTTCCCGTCCGTACTCTCCCATTTACATTTCCTTTACTTCTTTATTTTTAGGATTAAATTGATTTTAAGGTTTTCTTCGATTTGGGTATTTAATTTTGAATAATGCTATGCAGGACAAGCTATTGGATCAGACTAGTGTCACTCATCTTTTCCCTATTACCAAGTTCCTTGGATTATTGGCTACTGGCATGACATGTTTATTTTTTTTGCTAAATACTATTTTTTTATTTTGGTAAATATTTTTCTTAGATATTATTTGTTCGAATTGCCAAGATCTTTGTTTTGTTGACTAGTGAATCGGGGTTTTGGGGATGTAAGGGATTATGGGCTATAATGATATATATCTCTTTTCACATTGATGATAATTGGCATTTTCATTCTTCAGTTGATGCAAGGACCTTGGTCCAACAAGCAAGGAATGAAGTAGCTGAGTTTCTATTCAGATATGGATATGAGGTGCCTATGGATGTATTGTCCAATGTATAGTTACTTGTATTATATTCTCTTGAACTTGACAATATTTAGTTGCTTTCAAAAATTTGGATTTTGTATTTTCTATATATCTCATATGGATAATGTTGATCAAGCTTAATAACTTGAAGAGATCAGTGATTTGGATACACACTGGATATAAATTTATACGCTTTACTTTTGCTAGTAGATATTTGAAAAATATTAAGATCATGCTCGTTTTAACATCAAAGTTGAAGCGGCTTTATCATCCTTATTACTGGTCATGGGTATAGTCTTGGTTCCAAAATTAATACACACGAACTACATTTTATTATTATTTGAATTCTTATTGAAAATTGATCTATCTTTGATGTTTATGGTCCTGGTCCATTTGATGATCATACATTAATTTAGCCTCATGCTTTATTGGTATAGGATTGCAAACCAAATCACAGGTTTATACTCAACATGCTTATATGAGGCCTCTTGGAGTTGGCACGATTTCTTCAACATCCTACAACTATAATTTGTTTTAAAAGTTTTTCTATCTTTATTTTTTCCATAGGAGATTGCAACTTTTGAGTTGTTAATACACATGCAAGTAGATATGCTTATGTGTAATTGTGTATTCTAGGTAACTTACTCTGCTATATTATGTTCCTTTTATGTGAATTTGCCATGGTTTTGGGTATTGACAAAGAAAAGGGACCCCACTCTACAAGTGTGATCCAGCAGGCCATTTTTATGGCTCATCAGGTTTTGGGTAGTTTGCAAGTTGATTTTATCGCCATCATGTTTGGATTCTTGATTTTGGTTCTAAATGCCTGGTTCCAGAAGCCATATATTATTAATATGATGATTCATAATTGTTTCTCTCAACTAGTCTTTTTGACTATATTCTATACGGAAGTTTTTGTTTTGTTGAGAGTGTAGTACAAAATGCGACCACAATAATTTGGTTAAATTTCAGTTGGTTTAAGGTTGCATTATGCATCTAGATTGAATTTTGACTGATGTTCTGCAGGCAACCAGTGCTGGATCGAAAGAACAAGAGGCAATTAATTTCTTAGAAAAGAATACGAAGAATGACCCTGCTTTTACTTATGAGGAAACAATGCAGGTATGTATTTTATCCTTTATGTATGTTAAAGGAAGTGTTAAATGTCACAAGTTTAACATTTGCTAACACTATCGCATTTGTCTAATGTTTTATATTCCTACATTGTACATACTGCTATTTTGGCTCTACAATCTGTTCTTCAAGAGGATTCAAGGCTACCGAGATAGAGGTATAACAAGTCACTATCATCTTTGTTTGTAGTGATTTTATTGCTATGTTGAGTCTGCAACCATATTAATGTGTGAATGGATTATATATCTTTCGTTTATTCTCACTCTAATCCAAATGTTGTTATTTCTCTAATATAATTACATACGTAATTACGTATAACCACAATCATTGTGTAACTAAATTATTCTTGTTTACCCTCTTTTGAACCGTGGTTGACAAAAATTCTTTGATTCTTGAAAGATGGGAGTGTGAAAGCTGATAATCCAGTTTTCCAAGTGCTGTCAACCGAGAAAATCGATGAACATTTGACAACAATTAGTGAGCGCAACTAGTAGGCATGGGACCATATCGTGCTTTAGTTATTTTTGAAAGGCATTCATAATAAGTTATTTTTATTAATTTATATTTTTATTTCTGAAAGGCTTTATTTTTTTCTTTTACTGCAACATGATATCTTCTAATTCGTAGGAGCGCCTCTTATTGAAAATTATCTTGCTGGATTTAACAGCTCCGTGTTTGCTTATGGCCAAGTACTTATACTATTTGGGGTCCAGTAAATGCCTTGTTGAAGAAAATTTATCAAGCGATCAGCAGGGCTTAACTCGTCGTGTGTTTCAGCGTTTATTGATCGTATAAATGAGGTGAAAGTTTTGAATTTATGCTCATCAATGAATTTGTTGATTTTTTTTAATTTTAAGAATGAACCATTTTCAATAGTTTTGTTCTGACATTCTTTATTATAGGAGCAAATTAAGCATGTGATAAGCATCTCAAGTATCAAATCCGTGTTCTTTTCTTGAGGTAGAGTTAATTGAATTATTTTGATTCTTAGTTTGACATAATGAACTGCTTAGCGTTGTACTATTCTTTTCCTTATCACTTTATTTCAATTTTCTTTTGCAGATATACAATGAGAAAATAACATATTTATTGGATCCAAATCAAAGAAACCTGCAGGTAGAATGAATTATTATTTAACTTTTCAGTTTCCATTTTTTACTAGACGAAAAAATTGGGTTTTCTTATAATGTTCTATCATTTTCATCCAGTTAAGAAAATGTAAAATCTGGCGTCTATGTGAGAATTTGACAGAAGAGTGTGCATTCAATGAAGGGATTGACTAAGCTACTGCTAAAGGTTTTTCTTATTTTTCTTATTTCCTTTTGGCCGAGCTTGATTGTTAATTTCTTAATAATCTTTCATGAAGAAGATACCCAATTTTGTTTAGAATGCTAATGTTTTTCTTTTTCTTGAGAGAAATAGATTGGATCATTTATTCCAGTAATAAGCTGCTGAATGAATAATGTAGGGATTATCAAGTAGAAGGACAGGTGTCACTACAAGAAATTTCTACTATTGTGATAAATTTAAATTTGTTAAAATTATTTTTTGTCACTATTAGCAGCTTTTTGATGACAAATAGATAATCATCGCATTAAATTAAAAAAGATACAATTATGACAAAAAGTTAAAATCGTCATAATAATTTGTCACAATTAACAAACATATGTAACATATGGTGACAAAATAAATTTTATTATGATTTTTGTCACAAATGTTTCCTTCCATTTTTTTTGCCAAATTAAAGACATACAATGACAAATTTTGTAACTAAAAATTTTAATAACTATGATAGAAAAAAATTGTCACAACAAATAATGAAATTTAGATTGTTGTGACAAATTTTGTTTGTAATATATTTTAATTATAGTGACAAAATGTATAGTCACAAATGATTATCTCTAATTTTTTGTACAAAATCATATAGTGACATGTTTTGTAACTATAAGCTATAATTATTGTTACAAAAAGTTGTCACAACAATGATAGATTCAAGTTTTTAGAAAAAACAGTTTTTGTCGTATATGTTTTAATTATAGTGAAAAAATATATTGTCACAAAGATTTCTTTCCATATTTTTTTGTCAAAAAGTCATATAGTGACAAATTTTGTAACTATAAGTGTTACTTATTACAAAAATATTGTCACAAAAAATAATGTTATTCACGTTTTCGTGACAAATTATATTTGTAGTTATAAATTTTAACTATAGTGATAACATATATTGTCATAATTATTTTTCTCCCTTTTTTGTTTCAAAAGTTATATTGACAATTTTATAATTATAATTTAGTTATTGTTATAGAAAAATTATCATATCAAATAATAAAATTCAAGGTTTTTTGTAATAAATATTTTTGTACTTATATTTTAATCATTATGAAAAATTATACTATCAAAATCATTTCTTCATATTTTTTTAGTGTCAAAAATGTTATATAGTACAAAAGATATATGTCATAAGATTTTCCTCCATTTTTTGTCAAAAAATCATATAGTAACAATTTTTGTTACTATAGTGTTTATAATTATTACAAAAAATTGTCACAAAAATATGGTATTCATATTTTTGTGACAAATTATACTTATACTTATAAATTTTAATTTTGTATTAACATATTGTGATAAATATTTTTCTCCAATTTTTTGTTTCCAAAAGTTATGTTGAAAGTTTTGTAATTATAATTTATAGTTATTGTTATAGAAAAATTATCACAATAAATAATAAAATTTAAGTTTTTTGTAATCAATTATTTTTGTAGTTATATATTTTAATCATTATGAAAAAGTATACTATCAGAAACAATTCTCTCTATTTTTTTATGTCAAAAATATTATATAGTAAAAATTTTATAATTATTGTTATAGAAAAATTATAACAAAAAAATATTATTTTTTAATTAATAAATGATTCCCAAAGTTAGGGGACTTATATCCCACGAATTGGTGACTGAAACACAAAATACGCTAAATGTTCATGGACCTTATCATGATTTTCCCCAAAATAACAAAATAAAATCTATTCATCCCTTAATTTTCAATCTGCCTGATACTCAACCCTAACATTCCATCTCCCTCTTCTCTTCACTCGCAGCGACAGCCCCCTCACCAACAAACCGAAGCCCTCGACTCTAGGCCACCGAATATGGGTGGCCGTTTCTACTCCGGCCGACTAACTCACAAGATGTAAGGAACGCCAAGAAAACTACCCTTAATCATCAACAAGACCCACTATAATTCCTCTCCTCGACCGAGAACCAAGCGACGGAACGACCACCATACGCGGTGGCCCTCCGACCCCAAATCAACACCCACTATGCTTCCTTCTCTCTGTCGACCTCATTACCCCGACGAACACCACAGTAAGGTAACCTTACATCCCTAACTACATTATTTTTAGACATTAGGAATTTACATAAAAACAAAGAATGAATTGTAAACTAGGAATGGAAATATTTTAACAAGCATACGAACATGAAAAAAAAAACTAGAATACCTTGTTGATGGTCGTTGCTTTCATGCGAATTCTTTCATGGAGATCAATCTCTCACATCCTTTGCTTCGAGCTTGTGAAACATTGGGTTACACCAAGCCTACCCCTATTCAGGTCTTTATTTTACTTGATTTCATAATTCTCGCTTCATTAATTGAGTTTTCATCAAAGAGTTTTTGGGTAATTTGTTCTATAGGTTGCATGTATACCTTAGCCTTGACTGGACGCGATATGTGGGGAGTGCAGTTACTGGTTCTGGGAAGGTATATTTTTTTTATCTTCATCTCTTTTTGTGCCATTAATTTGTGATTGAAGATTTGATTTTTATTGAAATGCTTTTAATTTTCCCATAATGCAGACTGATGCGTATGCCTTACCTACACTATAAAGGTTGTTAATCTGTCCTAAAAGGGTTTCAGCTATACCAGTGCTAATCCTTACTCCTGCTAGAGAGTTGGCCGTTTCAGAAAGTACTATAAAATCTTTTGAACATTTTCAGCTCTCTATCACAGATTTATTCAGGATTTTGCTTTCTTTGTTCTGGCATAGTGTAAGTAAACTAATATATATATTTTTATAATGGAATTATGTTATCATAAACTAGTGAACTGGTTTTTGCTTTTTACTAGTTTATTTGAAATATTTCTAAGTCTGTTTGTTCAATCTTTTTATGCTTCAAGTTTGTTGAAAAATAAAAATATGTTTCAATTGTATTTTTGGAGATTCGTTGAGGTTTAAACCCTATTCTACATTCATTTGTTGCAGGGTTCGCAGTATGATAGAGAAACTTGCTCAGTATACTGACATTCGATGTTGTCTAATTGTTGATGGGCTTTCATTAAAGGTTTGACCTATTGATTCTTTACTTAGCCGGCTTAATTTGCACTCATTTTATATACAGGCAAAAAGTTATGTCCGATCCTTTCAACACTCTTTTTTTAATTGTTTCTTTAACTCAGTTGAAATTTCCTCCACTATTGTAAAAAAAAACTAATCATTGATCACCCTTTCCATTTTCTTAAATGTTTGACTGGTTTTGTAATACCCCAACTCGTATCTGACCCGGTTAAGAGTCCGAGCTGTCACATTGACTTTTCAAAACCTTTACTTGAACAAAATAGTGAATAATTTTAAAACTTTTATTAAATCAATTGACTAATTTACATAAATTAGTATCATATGATTTACAAAACCAATTCGAGTATATCGAATTCAATTTTTTATTTCATGCCAAATACATATATTTTCTGATCTGGACTTTGTAAGGAGATACTGACTGTCTTGCTCCCCAATGCTCTTTATTCTTCTCGAACCTTCGCGTGAAACAATCACACGCTAAGTCGATGACTTAGTGAGGCAAATAAAACATATAATAGAAATCATAAAACATTCCATATAACAAACCACATGAACATTTAATACTAACTTATCATACAAATCATATAACAATTTCATACAAAATCACACACCTTTTATAACAAATACACTCATGTACATATATCATCATCTACTTTCTTAGCATTATCATATATTTATATAACTATTTCTATCATTATCATCTAATATTTATCACCTGATCTTGTACTTATCATTTATGTATATCATATCACACATATATCATTTCACAAGAAACACCCATAAATCATAATTCCTGTAACAAAAAGCACATACATTATATATATATAGTATTCATGTTATCTCTTTGATTAGCCCATGGTACACTTGTGAGAACTATAGATATGTGAGTCTATAGAGGTTGTGCACTAATGCTGTCACCACAGCTCGTATAAATGTACCGAAGTACCACGTAGAATGCACGTAGTGCCGTAGAAATGCACCGAAGTGTCGCGTAGAAATGCACCGTAGTGCCATATAATGTCCATAAGGACCACATAGAAAATCATATACATATACCATGACCAAGTATGTGTCTCAAAGACCTCATAAATGTTCCAAAGAATATACATATGTCCGAAGGATCACGTAGACCTTCGACTCTGGCATGCCAACTATACCCCTAGCTCTCATGACACATAACATGGGCATTATCATTTATTTCATTTCAAATATTCACATAAACATGTAATTCATTTCACATATCACGTATCACATAGCTTTTCACATACTCATAGTCATATGTCTTATCTCATAACATATACATGTTTTCGCCTATATAATTCATATCATTTCTTATACCATCACATAATTCATTTAACATACATACATATCATGTAACATTATAATAGAAATACCTATAAGTTATATCACTTAGATTTCATATACATCTAGTCACATAGATCACTTTTGCATAGCTTATATCCACATATATTATCTACATGTATACCCAGAAATCAAATGGCATATACCAACTCATAGAAATATATATATAGTTTATGCAATCACTTTACTTATACTCACATGGATCCATATCATAGAGCTTAGTTCCCTTGTACATGTTATCACACCGGCATATAATCTTATATCAATCCTATAGGTAAAAGCTATTTATCTATCTCATTTTCCCTTTGTATCAGCTTACATGATTTATTATACTAACATGTACAATAACATATAACCCTTATCACTTATCTCACGTTATTTAATTATGAGTTATTCTATCCATTTAATTTAGTTCTATATAGCTCCTATAACCTTCTCATAAGGTTTTATAGTTCTTCATTTTATAACTTCTATATCATAGTTTTCTTTTAAGCATATCACTTTTTCCTATAGTGTTATTTATAGGTTCGTATCATCGTTATGCTCATGTCCCCTAATTTATATATATACCATTTTCATAAAGTCATTTATTTATTATCTTCTGATTTTATATTATTCTCTTAAATATTCTCATATTACTCTATAGTCGGTCTTATTTAACTCATCACCCATCTCATGTAGTCATAAATATATTATACTGATTCTCATAATTAATCACCTATACCCTGTAACATGTATGGTCAACCATCATATAACTTATTTTACTTCCCATGCAATCATATAGATCATTCATATTAGATCCTAATGATCACACTACATGTATTCACAAATCATTTAACACTTACTGTAATTTATCATATACTCAAATCAAACATATACATATGATCATAAATTCATACATTCTAATATAGGAAATAGACTCGTCGCAAGTCTTATTTCTATTAAACATCATAAACTAACATGTATGCACTACTTGTGCATCGGTACATAAATCATTCGATGTTTTTATTTTAAGGGGGTGCATCGATGCACTACTTGCATTCGATGTTTGTTTATTGAGAGTGTATCGATGCACATTGAATATGCATCGATGCACACGACCCATAAATTCCATTTTAAGCACGAAATTCAACTCTTCATTCAATTCTTCTATTTAAGCCGCTATCATGTCCTTAAACTCAACTACCATTACTTAAACCAACTTATATCCATATAAACCATATTATCTTCCATATCTCATCATGATTCTTAAAATTAAGAATCTTACTAATTTTCAACTTTGTTATAAATCCTTTCTAACTTCTAAATCTCTTATTTTTATTGATAACAAGTCAAATTCCTTCTCAAAATTTCACTTCTAAACTAGTGATAGAGTAACCTTTTTCATTTTGGATTATTTTTGAAAATGTGATGAAATTTTCTAATGCTTCATCTTTAGTACTTAAGAATAGAACCCAAGTGTATCTAGAATAGTCATCTACCAAGACAAATGCATATTGTTTTCCTCCCAAGCTAGTAGTTCTAGTTGGCCCAAAAGATCTAAATGGATCATTGTAATACTCTACTAGTGAAACATCATTATAGATTTAAAAGAAACTCGTTTTTGTTTTCCTTTAGCACAAGCATCACAGATTTTATCATTATAAATTTAAGCTTAGGCAACCCTCGAACTAAATCACCTTGAATTAGTCGTTGCAAAACCTCATACTAGCATGACCTAGTCTCCTATGCCATAACCAACTATCATGCTCATCCTTAGCAAACTAGGCATAAATTAGTCATATCAATAGAATCTAAATGCACCTGTAAATGTTTCCTATTCTATGACCACAAGCATAATCCGATTAGATGCAATGTCAATGACTTTACAACCATTAATTTCAAATAAGACATTGAATCCTTTATCGCATAATTGACTAATACTCAATAGATTATGCTTTAATCCATTCACATATAAAACATTTTTAATTTGTATGGAAGAGGTATTACCTATTGTACCAATACCTTCAATGTGACCTTTTGAATTGTCTCCAAAGTCACTTCTCCTCCATTTTGGCGTTAAGCTCAATGACCGGCTTTTGTCTCCGGTCATATGTCTTGAGCATCCACTATCAAGGTACCATGAGTTTGAATTTGTTTCCCGTGCCTTGTAGCATGCTCCTTTCCCTACAAACATAGATTAATTTTTGATTTTTGGTACCCAAATTCTTTTGGGTCCATATTCATTAGTTTTCCAAAATCCTAGTTCCCTTAGGTATCCATTTTTGTAGGATATCTTTTCTTTAGTAGTAATGAGTCCTTTAGGAACCCATATACTTCTAAATATTTACCATTTAAGGTCGTTGAGGATTTCTATGATTGTAGTTTCTAAAATCTTTTCTAAAAGTTGGATTTTGAATTTCTCCTTTTTCAAAACGTTTGTTCCAACTTTTTCAAAAGAGATTTTAAGATCATCAATTTTCTTTTGATGATCATCATTGACCTTTGAAAGTAAATTTTGCAAATCTAAATTTTTCTTTTCAAACTCTTCTAGTTTGATTTGCAAATCTTTAATTTACTTTCAAGATCATTGTTGTTTTGGATATGAGTTTATTTTCATTTTTCAATTTTGAAACATCATTTTTATATTTTAAAAATAATTTCTCATAATCCGAAGCCAACCCATTATATTCCTCTAATAGCTCATCATAAGATAATCATCAAAATCAGATGAGTTAGGTTACCTTAGAATCTTCCCCGAATGCCATCAAGCACAAGTTTGCTACTCTTGTTCCTCTTCATCGAACCTTCATCGCTCCATGTAGCCACATGAGCCTTGTGCTTATTCTTTGATTGACCCTTTTTCTTCAATTGTGGGCAATCATATTTGACATGCCCGGCTTTTTGCATTCATAGCAAATAATTGGGTCCTTCTCTTTTGGTTCATTTTTGAGGCCTTCGTTTCGTTTGAATTTTCTTCCTTGGTAAGGTCTCATCATTTTCTGAACCGTTTGGCAAACAATGCCATTCCTCGTCATCATCATCATTAGAATCACTCTCATCTTTTGTGGATTTGAGAGCAACTCCAATGTTTTTCTTCTTCTCCTTCCTTTGGTGTCTCTTCAACTTTATCAAGGTCCACCTCATCTTCAAGCATCATCTCATGAGTGAGGAGTGAACCGATAAGTTCTTCAAGAGTTAAAGACGATAGGTCCTTAGACTCGATGATTGCCGTCTTCTTTGATTGCCATGATTTTGGGAGGAGTAGACTAACTTCCTCACAAGCTTTTCATTTGAGATGATCTCTCCATATGATTTGAGACCATTGACAATCGTTGAAATCTATCCGTCATAGCTTTGATGTCTTCATTTGGTTTCATCCTGAAATTTTCATAGCTATGCGTTAGAATACTAATTTTTGATTTCTTTACCTCATCTGTACCTTCATGTGTGACTTGAAGTTTGTCCCATATTTCTTGGCGGTTGTACACGATGAAACTCTTCCGTATTCATCTGTCCAGAGCACAAAAAATAATATGGATGGCTTTGGAGTTGAGCTGGAACATTCTTGTCTCTCCTTCACTCCACAACCTTGGATGAGTGAGGTTGATGTATCCTTCTACAGCATTCCATGCCCATGTCACTTGCTTG